AGCTCGGAGAAAAAAGAAAAAAAAAAAAGTCTCCCAACACTTACCACCACCAATGCAGCGATTTTTTCCGATTCAAACTCACTAGAGAACAAAACTGATGAATAAAAGATCTAGGGATGTGAAAAATGCAGCTGGTTTTTTTTGGTGTTTTCCGAGCTTTCCTTTTCCAGATAGAAAGAGGGAAAAGGAAATGGCGGAGGTGGCGACGGTGGTAGTGGTGGTGGAGCCGGTGAAGGTGTGGTGGGGTACGGTGGTGAAAGTGTTTTTCGCGTTAGGTGTCACTTATAAAATAAAAAGGGATGGACGTTGGAAGCTCCAAAACATTGCCCCTTTTAAAAATTTCAGAAAAACTGGAAATTGACAAAAAGGAAAATAAATCATTAAAATGTTGTCTATTTTTGTTTCATTTTATTTTATGTTGTCCATTTCGTTTGTGTTTGTGTTTTTTCTATGTTTGGTAAATCTAACTTAATATCAAAATTAATAGTTAATGATTTATGGCTGATGTAATAAAAATGTTTGACAAAATTAACTGATAAGTCAATGAAATAAAATTATGAATGGGCTTTTTTTAAAAGCTACATAATGAAGTTTATAATATAAATTCGAATTTTTTTGTTAAAAACTCAACCTACTGAACGAAACTTAGTTAAATATAAATAACTTATAAAATAACTAAATAAACTATAATTTAACTTATGGTACTTATTAAACCCACTTTTAATAATATACCATATAACTTATTTAGTTAATTTCTAGATTTGATATATTTAAATGAATCTTATTTGGTAGATGATTTTTTTTGAAAGTCCAAGTTTATTTTATAACATATTGAGGTAGTGTTTTAAAAAGTCTATTAAAAATTTTGTTTCAACTAACTTGTTAAGTAATTTTAAAAAACATTTTTATTTTGTCATCTATATTTTTCATCATCGGTCACAAATTATTAATTGTCATTTTGAAATAATATTATACGGTATTAGTTATCACCTAAATTTGTCCTTTTTTTTCCAAAACGATAGAGATATTATATATAACCGAACAAATGTACAAAAAGACAACCACCAGCTGAATACAAACAGTCAACAGCTGAATACAAACAACCAATAGCTGAATAAAGTCAAACGTGTCCAAATTGTGTGATTATAAAAATTGTTTCGGATTTTTTTTTCATGGTTTGTTCAAATTTAATTTCATTAATTTTAAGAAATAAGGATACAATATGATTCTAATATAATATGAGGAGAGAGGAAATAATATTAATATGATAGTATTTAATGGATAAATAATGTATTAGCTAAAAAATCACATTATTTAATTCTTTTATTAAATTGTCTCACACAACAAAATTATGCTCTCTAACTACTTCAACTTTTCTTTTCTTTTCTTTTTTTTTTATCCGTAATTTATTATATATTTATATTTTGTCAATTTGTGTGTGTGTGTGTGGGCGAGTGTATTAACAAGTATCTGGGTATTACTATGTGACAACAAATGTATGCTGTAATTTCTCGTATCGAGTATTTATGATTTTGTCCAAATACTATAATGTGAGGATCTTGAAATGACCGCCTTACCCCTGTGAAATTCAGTATTGGCTAGTGGGTGACAGAATAAAAGGTGAGCTGTACCTTTGATTTTGGGGGCGTGGACCACCGTTGCATTGTGTGGTGACAAGTCCAGCTCATGATTTGGAGTGCCCACTTTTGGTTACCATGTGCCCGCGTCGCATCTGATTCCCTTCGCTCTTTTTCGATTCTCAGTTGTGCTGCTTTTAAATATCCTTTTTTCCTATTAAAAGAATTAAAGAAGGTGCGAATTAGAAAGGGAGGGCTAATTTTAGGAGATTTTTAAAAGCCAGTAATTGTTAGAAAAATAATTGAATAAGATATTTTGGAAAATATTAAAGAGTGACAATAATTTAATGCTTTTTATAATAGCACTTTTACGAATTTATTTATGTAGACGAATTTTATAGTGCCTTTTTCAAGGAATTCATATTACATAGTTTTATAGGAAATGGATTTTTATCCATGAGTAATTTTATTCAAGTCATTTGACAATTTTGCTATAAAGTCAACAGTAGCTCCATAGTGGAGCCAACCTTTTATATTTAACAAGTAAATCATACAATATTAATAAAATTATTAGTATTATTTAAGTAATCAGTAAATATAATATGATTTACTTGTTGTACATAGAAGGTTGACTTCATTATGGAGCCAATAGTTGGCTTCACAGTAAAATTGGTCATTTTAAGCAACCACAACACACTTATTAGTTATTACTTATTACTACGAAAATTGAATTTTACACTCAAAAGTCAATTTTGATAGGTGATCCAACAAGCACTTGCTAGTTTTAAAAGATGTTAAAAGCTATAAATTCCAAATCACATAATTTATCTAGGAATAGACAGTCATACTTATATACATATTATAAAATATTATATTTTCTATTTTACATAATAATATTTAATATAAAAATAAAAAATACAGTTGTAAAACCATTATACAGCTTAACAAAATACCAATCCATTTTATCTAGGTTTCACATACATTTTTCCTTAGTAATCATTTTATTGCAACTTTGGTATCTCACTTGTATCAATAGATAAAGTCAAATTTATGGTGATATGATAGCTATAGAAATTGAGGAACATTAATTAATTAATTAGGTATACTATCAATTAATTAGGATGTAATAATCAAATTTATAAATTGATCAAATCTTAACAGAAAAGTGGACAATCCTCCCTATATATAAGTCTCCGAATGTGCTGAGCCTAAGTTGCCAGCTCGTATGTTTCGAAATCGTATGTGGCAAATTTTTAAGTTTTGTTGTTTGGGTTGGATGAAATTTAATTTATTTTCAATCCAAAAGTACCTAGGCTTAGAATCTATGTATATCTATATAAAGAGAATAACAATTTACCAAAAATAGTAGCAAAAAAAAATTGGGAGCATTTAATGCATATTTTATTTGGAAATTTTTTGAATATATGCATTAATTGCTTTCATATACGCATTACTAAATCCGGTATGGTCAATTAGATTCCTTTGAATAATTTTATTAACATCTGCAATAATTTTATTGATATCTATTATAATAAATTATAATTTGATTTCCTATGATTCATGTTTATAATATTTGATCAATATAAACATGAAATAAATTTTAAGTCTTAACCATATTATTATTTTTTTTTTCCACAAATATTGACTTTCATCCTAAAATATTTATAGACAACCGCAACATGTTAAATAATTTTCTCCTTCTAATTAATTAAGTGAAATCAAGTTGGTGAGTTAATATTTTTCGATAATATTTTTAAACTTTATTTAATTACATAAAAACAAATATTTTTTTTTAAATTAAAATAATTCACCATATAAGAGATAATGATCACATCATTAAATAATCTACTAATGACTAGATAATAAAGTTAAAATACATTAACAATTCTTTACAATTTCAACATGATTTATTTATATGTTATTGTCAACCATGATAATTTTATCATTTTTTATTTTTATTTGTTTCCACAATGAATTTATTGTAAAATATATATTTATATTACATCGTATGTTAAATAAATTAATAAAGCATTAGGATGTAAATTAGAAAAATCTCTTGATGCTAACTCAATTTTTTCTTAAATATTATAAGAAAGTAAAATTCTAATTAAAAAACATATGTGTGTATTCTGTAAACATTTATACACAAAATTTTATTTTAAATTTCCTTACATGAACTAAGATGAAAAATACTACTTCTATAACCTTTATAAATAATAGTAATGACATTATATGACAACAACTATTATAATAAAATAATAATTGAGTAGTATATGATGAACAAAAATAAGTATATTTTTTATTTTTTTTCTTATATCGATGAATAAATATATATTGTAAAATCAAATTTATATTAGTATAACGTGTTAGCAGAATAATATATTAATTAACATATCAACGTTATGGCTAAAATAAACATCACTGATTGAAAGAAGTGGAAAATTGATGATCAAACACTATTTTTTTTTGCATAAACGTACAAGCCCTCTAGAAATGACTCATTTAATATATGTGTCCCGTGTATTGCACGGGCTATGTAAGTATCCATAAATATATTGAATATTTATGATCCTTTTTAAGAGCATTAATTATGTTTTAATATCATTTTCTATTGTAGACGTGGTTTATAAGGTATAATTTTTTTCTCAATCTTTCTTTATATTTATTTTAAATTTTTACAAATTTACTGACTTTTATCAATTTATTTAAAAGTTAATAATTTTTTATTAATAATTTTTTATATATAATATATCAAATTAGTCATCTCTTGATGAACTTCGATTTGACATCTATATTTAATTAAAATCAAATTACATGTTAATATTCATTCAAAAAAACATAACTACAAAGTATTTATCTGTTACAAATTAAAAAAATTATAATGTAAGATGATAAATCGTGTAAGGGATTGTGTCATTTTAAATATAAATAATAATATAATTTTTATAAAAAAATTACTAAAACTAATTTTTTTTTGTTATCTTAAATATAATTTTCTTAATAAGTAATAATAGTGTAGTCCACGCCTATTGTACTAGTAAAAATTAATTAATACGAAATAAAGGGAGTAAAAATGGACAAATAAAGCTAAATATTAGGGAGAGGGAAAACAAAAACATAACTATCAGGACTAAAAGTGGCTATTGTGTCATCTCATAAAATATTATACCAAATTAAAACCTTTTTCATATAAAAATAAATAAATAAATAATTAAAAGTAACAAACAATTACTGGAACTAGGTTGAAACATTGCCACCTATGGGGTTGCAGTGATACCTGTTTACTGGAAATGCTTCACATTTACAGAAATTACATTTGAGGTGGTTTATTTAGCTGGC